CTGCTGTAATGACAGGCCACATTTTAAGCACTTCAGCCTGCGTTAGAGGTCACCAGTAAATCTGTACCAATAGCAAATTGTTGTAGTTGCTAAACAAATGTGTTTTCTCTGTTGAAGCTCAATGTTGCCAATAGCAGATTGCATCTATATCCTTTGTTACATCAGAATGAACCCTGCAGTGCCAACAGCCGTTGCTGTCCTAAAACTGTGCCTATTCACACCAGGGAGATCTTGGACAGAGGAAAACATGAATGAAAGCAGGTTGAGGGGTGTCAGTGTCATACTCTGCTGGGTAGTACTACCCTAATTAGCTGAGTTTAAAGAAGATCAGCTAATACTGCTGTATGGCATTGGCAGATCAGCAGCTGTACCCTGATAATGATGTGCACTGTTATAAAACTCTGTCATCTGGAACCTGGCCTCATACCTGAGAATTAGGTTTTAACCCAGAATGCTTCTGTGATCTGATATGAGAAGTAACAGCAGCAGTTCTGGGAGCAGAGGAAGAGGACAAGGCAGGAAACCCTTCCAGTGGTAGCATCCCCCTTCTCAGTTAATTTTGGCCCAGCAGCTGCACTGTTCAATGCAGGCCATTTCAGTTAGGTTTTATAGCAAAATGTCTGCACAAACAAGGCACTTCCTGTCCATTGGAGGTATTTAATGGCACAGCAGTGAGATGTGTTCTTACTGCAGAGCGTTACCATGTGTCCAGTGCTGTAGATCATTGTTGTTGTGCAGTGAAAACTCCTTCAGACTGGGATGGCCACGTGGGATTGTGCTGTGCTGGCTTGGGCTTGTTGGAGTGGAGAGGTAAAATAGTCCTTTGTCAGTGTGAAGCATTGGAAGGCATCATGTTTCCAGCTGTCCTGAGTTACGTGGCCTGTTCGGGATGGTGTGGGTATGACTTAAGTCAAGTACTGTGACTACACTGGAAAAAGATTCTCCAAAAGTAAAGTCTTTTAAGATCGCAAAAGACATGAAAGGCTTTATTAGGTAGGAGTGTTTTACTGGATCTGGATCTTCAAAATGGTAGCAGAGCGTAGTCCAGGATGAAATACAGAAGCCATCTGTCAGATCTGAACTATGAACCTCTGCAGAGGACTCTGGCCCTGCAACTGAAATGCGACACTGGCAGCCAATCATTCTTGACAATTCTAAATCTGATGCCAGGAAATCCTGGGGTCTGTTGTCTAGAAAGAGATTCCCTCCTTAACACAAGAAGAGGTAAAACTGCTGCTGGCTTACTGAGGATTCGTGCTTGTGCCTAAACAGAGCAGTTTCTTTGAAGTATGTGTATAAGTTCTTTTGCTTTTCCATCATGGTGATGGTCCAAGCTGAAGACCCTTTGGTCTTAGGAGTGTTTTCTGGTTGTCCCATCAAGGCAAAACCCCTTTAAATCTGTCATCCAAGTGAAAGATCAGTCTTCTTAATCATTCATGACTGAACTCCACTGTTTTCCCCTATACCTCTCCCTCCTGATTGAACTTTGTCTAAGGAGCAGAAGAGCTGGAAGCAACATCTAATGTCTATTAGCCTCCAGGGGGGATGGCCTGCATTTCACTTCCTACTTCTGCATTTGCTAAACTTTAGCAGCAGCTAGCAGTCTGCTTTCCCTTGATTTGGGATGCTCTTTTGGTTTCTCAGTGATGCATGTAATCTTGAAATACACTTTGCCTTAGGTACTGTCTTTACAGACATACTGATTTTGCTCTTCTGAGTTTTGCAGAGGCTCCTACAAGCGAAGGAGTTACTAGGAATTGAGGTAAGCCATTAATGCAGAAATACAGAGTTAGCTTAAAAGATGTCCTGGTCTCTGAGCAAATCAGGTTGTATGGAAACCTGATTCTCATTAGAGTAGAAGTTTGTCACCTGTCTGCTGATTAGCTTCATTAAATAGGAAAGAGAAAAGGATAAAAAAACAAACCCCTGTGTCTGGTCAAAGTTCAGAAGAACTTTCACAAACACGGATTCACAAGTAGTGCAGTTTATTGGAGCAACAGATTACAGATTCTTGTTAGATTGCCAGTGCTAAATGCACTAGATCTGAAAAATAAAAGTGTCTAGCACTATGTACAAGTGTTTCTGGCTATACTCCAGTGCAGTTGGAGGCACGGATCTTGTCAAAACAGTGTCCCTGCTTTGTGGGAGGTCACAGGAACAGGCCTGCCAACTTTGCTGAAAGGCATCTCATCCTTCGCCTTGGAGTCAGCATAATCTACTCTCTCAATGATGCTATGTATAACCTTCACAGATGGGAGCCACATGCAATGTGCCATGGCCACTTTCCACCACAAGAGCTGAAGTTTTTCCATAAGAGTACACGGACGAATGGGACTGGTAGGCAACATGTCTGGCAGGCATGTGAAATTGTTCAGACCTCACCTCATCATAGCTCTCTGTGTCAGTCATTGAACATAGGGGAGGCACTGACACCAGAACAACATGGCATAGTCCTCTGGCTGAATCTCCATCTCTGTCTGGAAAATATCCTCCAAAGTATCTTGGACACAGTTTCAGTCCTCCACTATGCCACGTCTTAACTGGGTTGATTAGTATTTAAGGGTATGCTGCTATTCCGAAGTTGTCTTCCAACAAAAGTGTCTCTTTTAGGTTGCTCCCAGTCTCCTATATGGTCTTACCAGTTGTAGATGAAACAATGTAGGAAGGCCATGAGTCCTTTGCAAAGCCACACTTGAAGTAACCGGTGCCAGTGTCTAGGACTACTGCTTTAGCTTCCTTCATGGCCTTGAGGCTACCCTTAGTGACAGATATGTGGCTGTCCCTTGTAGGCTTCAAACGGTTTGTGTCTGCTGCCACTGTTCCTGCAGACCTTTCCTGCACAGCAAGCACCGCCCTGACAACACTCTACCTGCTGTCAGGACAAGCTGTAGATGTGTGCCTGGAGCCCTGGTGGCAGTGGTTCTCCTGATGCCACTGACTTAGGATACCCATCTGTATGCTTGGCCCTCAGAAAAGTGCTCTGCATGCAAGCGTGTGACAATTGTGGCAGCTGCACACCATGTCCATACAGATAGACTGCAGGTGTTTAGGCTTTGCTCTGACCTGGTCTGGGGAGTACTAAAAACACACAACACCCACCTAAATGTGACACACTGTGGTGCATAAACAATGCATTTAACTGTAACGCTGTGGCTTTCCTTTCTGGCCTATGTCTGCCATGAGGAAGACCACAGTTCTCCATCATTTGCAACTGGTGTTGGTCCAAAATAGTTCCTGTTGCAAAACTACTTCAACTCTGGGGCCAAGTGAAGCCCTAGTTTGTGTCAAGAGTGACTCCCTAGACTGGCGGTGCTTCTGTAATTGTTTCTTACTCTCTAAGTTTTGTTTTCAAAATTAAGGTGTATCACTAATAATATCAGCAAAAACCTAAAGCATGTGACTGGTGTTTGAAATTAGGCCACAGCAACTCATCACCCTTACTGTACCCCATTCTGGTGAAAGACAAATGGTTTAAGAGAAGATTTTGCAGAAACTCAGAAAAGTGGGAAAGGGCAGGGTCTTGCAGAATAGTTTTGCAATGAGATAACATAAACAGAGATCTTGAATTAGATACTCGACACTGCATTTGGCAATGTTCCTTACATTTTGCTAGTTAGGTAAATCAGCAAAAAAAAACATCCTTTAGATGAACTTAGGTCATTTAAGCATGAAAACCACACCTCTAAGGTTAGGTTACTCACCTACAAGTGACAACCTCTACCCTACCCACTGAACAAGCACAATAACTTTAAAACATACTGTACCTTTAAATTGAAGCAGGCAGAAGATTGTCCAACAGCTATTGAGTAGGCATGTGTTTAGAAACTGGACAAGCACAGACTTAATGCATTTTGAAAACATAAATAAGCTGCTTGGCTGTAACCAGGTGTGCTGGCTGTGTGGCTTTACCACCCAGCACCCACCTCTGCACAGGCAATGAAATAAACACAAGGTGAAAGAACCCAATTCTGGGGACATTTCCATGACAAGAACATCTTTGTTCTTTTCCAGCAGCAACAAGTTACCATTTACCCCACTGGAGTGTGTATAGCAACACACTGCTGCTTGGGGGTACAGAAGGAGAGAATACTTCCCCACAGAATGTGTTAAAGACTTAGGAGCATTTCTCTTGTGCAGCAAAAGCTGTGTGTGCTCTTCTACTGAAAGCCATTTCACCCAGAGGACATCTTACACAACAAGTCAAAGCTGAGCTTAGATTGAAATTAAAACTGTACAAATCCATTGTGGACCCAGAAATATATTTTTTTCTTAGTACTGCTCTGGAAGCTCGTATCTTGACAACAAATGATAGAGGCTTACCAAAATCCTGATGCGGAGAAAGAGGGCAGGATTAAACCACACAATTTCTGTACCAACTTCAGCATATGCAGAAAAGCAACTGCAAACCTTGATAGTTTATTACTCCGGGGAGCAGTAAAGCGGGTCATTGCATACTATGCGTGTATTTTTATGTATTAATGCTTAAATACATCCTTGTATGTGAAAGAGATTGGCTGCCTCACTTAGAGCCTGAGCAGTGACTATCCTACACCCTGGTGAGGGGCAGGGCCCACTCCACAACTAAGGGCACATTCAGCAGCACCTTCCAAGCCATTCTGTGGCACAGCAAAGTGCAGATACTGTAGCTGATGCTCCTGCCCCTGTGCTCACAGTACACTCCTTTGACGGTTTTGTTGTCAGCCACACCAGTTCTTGCAACATTATCACCTAGAGAAACTTCAGTGATAGGCAGAAAACATCAAGAGAAAGACCTCTAAATCACTGTTTCTTTCCTTTCTCAGTAGAAACCTAGACCTGGGCTTGGTTCAGCTTCTGTAGTAAAATTAATCCTTTCATCCAAACAGAACACTTCTTCCAGACTGCAGTTCACATACAGATTAGTGTGTCTGTACCACAACAAAACTACACACACCTTCAGTTTCAGAAGCCACTTTATTTTGGGGGCAGTAGGGTGGTGTTTGGATTCCTTTTTTGTTATTTTGTCTAAGGTATTACAAAGTAAGTATGCTGCTGTTGGCAGGTTACTTTTCCCCACATTACATTTGTCATTCCAATTAACAAACATACATTTCCACTAACATTGAGCTCTTTGTTTTAGGCTGAAATCTGAAGACAGGTTGAAAGATGAATTTTGCGAAGTCATTTAGGCCAGTGTTTCCTGAGATGTTCCTTTAACTGTGGGACCGTGGGCAGATGTTGTTTGCAATGATGGCATCTGAGGGGCAGTTTGAGAAGTTCAGAGATATGATCTTTCACCATCACCTTTCCATTGCTTTTTACCATCTCTATCGCATCTGGGGGAAAAAAAAAAAGAGACCACGGGTATTGAGACCATGAAATGTCACTGCAAATTTGTGTGCACTGTTTCACATGCACAGCACGTATCACTGCTGCATTCCAATTTAAACCAGCCACAAAATTAATTGATTTCTTGGTGCTGTTCATCTGAAACTAAATACAACCTTTCACTTACTGCAACAAAATGTATGGCTGATACATTTGTTTAGAAATAAAGCCCAAAGCAGAACCTGCAAGCAGGATTACATGTTACGGAATAACTTCCCTAATCATTACCTTGAGAGTTTAAGAAGTAGTCTGTGGTAAAAGAGTTCCAGTGCTTTTTGGTTTTCAGGGCTGGAGAATCAAAATCCTGGCTGATGACATGCAAATGTAGCTGACTGAAAAGAAGTACGTAATGTAGATAAGAGAGGAAAATTAATGTTTCAAGTTCTTTTGCAGTAACATCAGTTGCAAATATAAGAGGGCCAGCCTTGTTGGCCAGTCTTGACCCACAGTCCTGTGACAGAAAAGAGTCTGTTCTGGAAGCACTGCTTCATGGCAAGCATTTCACTTAACAGCCAGTGTCACTAGTCTGCATATTCCATCGGCCCCTCACTACAGTCTATATTCCTGCTAGTTTCAAAAAACACAGAAACAACAGTTTTAATAAACCAAAGGTTTAAACTTTGTAGAATAACCAAACAGGACTTGATCAGTGACCAAAAGCTTCTTTCAGGAACAGGAGAACAGCTTTGGAGCACTGACTGCAATATCTACAGGCATCCGGGTGCCCTAAGGTCTGGACTTATTTACACACAGGACTCAAATCCCTGCTCGGCATCAGGCAGGACTTGACAGGCCTAAGAGTAACTCTGTAATCCCACATTGGTGCCCTGGAGTGGGATGCCCTAGCACTTGGCACTGGCAGTGCTGCCTTTTGTTGGGGCGGGACCACGGGCACAGCACAGCCCCAGCTACAGACCTCTGCTTGGGAACCCAATGGGCATTTCCCACCAGACCCAGGACGCCTGTGTAGCCCTTTGGTGGCTACATAGGTGTGTGCTGCAAAGGGCTTGGACACCAAGCTGTTGGTAGTGTTTAAGAGGATTAGCTGTTCTTCAGCAATGCCAGATCACCTAGCAGATTTAGCCTCAAATTTGTATTACCAGAAGAACATGGTGTCCACCTGACTGCTTCTCCAATTCTTACCTCATACTGGGGACAGCGTGGTAACCCAGTCTGAACTCCAGACTCTCTTTGTCAGGGCACTGTTCAATCATTTTTTGCCCAACTGCATGCATATGTTCCAGGAGTTCAAGATGGTTCCTGGTGAGTGACTTCAGGCTTGAAATAGGGTCCCATGGTAAGACAAGCCAGTGGTAACGAGCTTTAGGATATTTATCCTTGATGACTACAGTCTTTTCATCTTTGTAAACCTTGCAAAACAAGTAAGTAGATTACTTACTGATTGAAAGTTAAATATATTATTCCTATAAGCCCTGTATTCAGTGGATTTTGAGGTATTATCCAGGGAGAACTTTTGTTGGAACTAAATTGCTCCAGGAGAAGTGCCCTCTTACAAAACATGCACCAGGTAGCTACGGGGAGATGTTCCATTATGCCTCTCTGTGTACTTCATGAAAGGAAAAAGCTCCCTATTCTCACATAGCAGTATGTTAACCATTGCTACAGGTGGGCATGAACTCTCTTGAAAATCACCTAGACTGAGATACCAGCAAGGCCTAGGGAACTCTACTTCCATCAGGTTACATTCAAGCTTTGCAGTCACCAAAACAAAATCCATGGCACTATGCTCAATATAGAGCATGTAGGAATGCACTGGGCTGCTGAATCCTTTGCAGATTTCTGGAGTGAAGCACAAGCCTCAGAGGTGCTACCAGCAGTATGCTCAGCACTACATGCCTCCACCAGCACACTGCTGGTAGCACAAAAACATGCAAGTCTGAGCTGTTTCAGCTCATGCTACCCAAGGTGCTGCTTTGTAAGATCACTCACAAGATGGAGAACAGATTCCTGTCTGTCATGCCCTTCTTCCCGTTTCCATTTTGTTTTGCCTTCTGCAACAATTCGATGCAGCTCAAGAAGAGAAATGGCAGCAAAGCTAGTGGATAACAGAGGGGACAACCTGCCTCAGCAATAAAATCTGTCAGGGTCTGATGCAGGAACTGTGTTCTGTGTCTCTGGTCTCTTAGCAGTACATCTACTGGTGAGAGATGGATGATGTCTTTGTCACCTTTGCTTATTACTCTCACATGTTTATATACAGAGCTGATCAGTCTTGCTCTACAGGAAGAAAGCTTTACATTTTATCAGCACACAAATCACAGGACTGGTTCTTTCAGCAGCAAGACTGACTGGTACTCTCACATTTTTATATATACATGTTAATGTCTGCATATGCCACAAATACTGCCATTTATTTAATATTTGATTAAAAAGTGAAGATAGGAGTTCTGTTTGTGTATTCACTTCAGAGCCACAACTAATAAAGCTAACACTAAGTCACAAACAGTTATTTGTGTTCTAACATTCAAAGAACAGTTCTAAAACCTGCTTATAATTTGGGTCAAGAAAGCACTGTTTTGATAAGTGCTATAATGAAATTCTGCTTAAGGGATGAAAATTAAGCTTCATATTTTAAAAAAGGAATAATTTCCATAGCAGACGCATTTGAAAGTGCTGGGATTTCCAGGAGAATGGGCATCCAGTTCTCACACAACTCTACGCAGCCTAACACTTCAAACCTGAATGAAGAAAAATAATGATGGGACCATCTGATTAATTATCATGGAAATTATTTTTGGCCTGACAGTGATCATCACCTGAAAAGGTCTCAATGAGGCTGTGGGATCTTCACCACTGAAGATCACCTCAACCCAAATGGATAAAGGCTGAGGGAATCACACTAAGGGCAAGGAGTTGGACTGGGTGACTTCCAAAGGTTTTTTCCAATTAAAATTATTCAGTGATTTCAAGAACCAAGTATCACAGGTATCTGTGATATCTGTCCTCCTGAACACATGCCACGGCTGAGAAGTACAAAGGGAAAAACATATCTCTAATGTGAGGATGGCCATGCAGCAGCCAGCCAGCCACAGTGCCAGCCTAAATGGTCCCAAGCTTCAGGCCAGAGAGTGGAATACTGATGGACGGCATTCTCCCTGGTTTGGAGTTGAACTAAAAAGCTCAGTTTTCAGAAGGAGTTGTCTATATATTTGCCATAACTTAAAAATAAAATCAAAGTAGGTTCTATACATGGTAGAGAAGAATCTCTCAGGATTTTCTCAGACAGTGTCAGATTTCTGTGTCTTGAGTCTCGCTTCCCCAAAAACAGGCAGCAGACAACAAAAAGAGCTCAACAAAAACCACTATGAAGCCATGGGGAAACAGAGCAAGGGAGGTGCATCTGGATCA